CCAGAGCACAATGCTCAATGAAAATGCTATGCTTGCATCATTCCATTTTAGGGGAAAAGCTGCAGTCCAAGAACGACCTGGACCCCATGGACCCTGCAGCTTATTCAGACATACCACGGTAGGTCGCCCGCTAAGGCTGCACCATCAGGAATTTCTACTGCACTTGTGAAAAATCTAAGGCAAGTGATGTTCCAGGGGCAAGTGGTCCACGGGGCTGGAGAAGAGCAACGAAGCCAAGACGGGAGCAGACACCACGGCCAGCGGGCCGTTGTACCAGATGCGGCCGTACCCGAGTCCCGGGGCGGTGCTGCGACTCAATGCGTCGGGGCGTCGTCCGCCGTCGGACGACGAAGACGAAGACTGAGTGTAACACTGTGCGGATAATAAATGTGACTAACTGCGGAATAATCTGTAGACCCTTTTGTTGCATATGCTGTGCCTTGGAGAGAATAGCCAATGCAACCACAAGCGCGTTTTGAAGGTTTACTGGCGTCGCGTTTAACGCGCCGCCCGGTTTGGCGGCGCGACCGCCAGGCGCGCCCAGCGGAGCCTCGCGTGGGCGTCCGACGTGGTCTCCCCTCGGTCGGCGCGGCCATGGCTCCCGAGCTGCTGCAGCTGCTCCTTCTTTCGGCGTCCGTGCTGGCCTTTTCGGTGGAACTGCCCTGGGACCGGGCCGTCCCGGGCGCCCGGGCCAGCGGCTGCGAAGCAGGCCGCGAGCAGGTCGAGCGGACCTACTGGCTCCGCGACGGACAACGCCTGGCAGCGGCGACGGACCGCTTCTGGGAGCCGGGCACCTACGTGTGCGTGCGCGAGGGACCCCGAGGAGTCCGCCTAGAGAAAGCCCTGCTCGTGCAAGGCGGACCCCCCGAAGACGCTTGCTGGTCGGGCGAAGCCGGCGCAAACCGCAGCCGGAAGCGGCGGGTTGCCGACGGCGTCCGAGCGCGCCACGCGCCGTGGGTGGCACAGCTACTTCAAGACGGCCGCTTCGTGTGCGGCTGCAGCATCGTTGGGCAGCGCTGGGCCCTGACGGCCGCCCACTGCCTAGCTGGGGAAGGGACCTCGTTCAGCGTGGCCTTAGGTCCCCTTCGCCCGGCCGCCGGACCCAGAATCGCCGTGGTTCGAACGCTGCCGCACCCGAGCTACCGGCGCGGCACGCGCGCCCACGACATCGCTTTGTTGGAGCTGGACACGCCGTCGACAGAGCGACTCGCGGTCGTGTGCCTGCCGCCGGGGCCGGGCTTCCTGGAACGCTTCTCGCAGGGCCTGCTCTTCGGCTGGGGCAAGGTGGGGCCCGGCGGGGGTCCGGCACGACGCCTGCAGGAGGCCCTCCTGCCCCTGGTCACCCGCGACCGCTGCGAGGCCGCGTTGCCAGACGTCGGGCCGAAGGCCTTCTGCGCGGGGTTTGGCGAGGCGTACCGCGCGGACGCTTGTTCGGGGGACAGCGGGGGCCCGCTCGTGGCGCTACTGGACCAGAGACCCGTGCTGATCGGAGTGGTCAGCTGGGGACGGGCCTGCGCAAGACCGCACACCTTTGGGGTCTACACCCGGGTGGACAGCTACCTGCCTTGGATACGAGACCACGTGCTCGGGGCCGGGCCATCGGAAGCCCCCAGGGAAGTGCCGCCCGCATGCCCCGTCTGTCCCTGTCTGGGCGAGCAAACTGCGAGCAATCGAACGGACGGGGCGGCGGATTGACGAGATGTTCGAGAACATCCGGGGGGACTGTGGCCAGTCGCTTTTTCGGCATTTGCGCGCCCGCGTTTCGCTCGCTTCCTAAGCGCGACGAGCGTTCTGAACTATAGTTATACATTGCACGCTAGGCTCATTGTGAAGTCGTATCGCTTGACAGCGAAATGAGTGCGCGCGAACGTGCTGAAACCACGTGGTGCGGATTAATATGGCAGCGTCCTGCATCGCCGAGGATGTTCGTATAATGAAGCGCTAGTGTAATCACGCAACAGATGAGCGCAGCATTGCGCTGTTCGGGATCACCAACTCCTAGTTCAACGTTACGCAATTTTCCTTTATGCCAGTTCGCAGCAGACGGGATCCGAACGAAACGGTCCCATGCGCGAATACTGAACTTTGCAGCTGTGTTTGCACGCCCTCAGTAATTGTCTGTTGCTCTTACTGAATGTAAACTAGACGTATATACAATGTAATCTTTTTGCGAACAGGATAAGTGAGGACCATTCTCAAATTTATGTGTGTCTCATTTATTGATAACGCTTTGAAAGGGTGTACAGTAAATATTTTACACCCCTGTGGGTGCTTTTCGATTCGCACCCTGGGTAACCACTGCGAGGACGCGAGAATCAAACGAGAGTGTGTCTTGCGGGTGTTAAACTTTTACGCCCTTAGGGGTGCAAAAATACTCCAAAAGCTGATGAACACGTGCTAAAAGTTAAAAGGAAAACGGCTTGACGTAACAGTTTAATAACGTTTAGAAGTAATATATATATATATATATATACATAAATATATTTCTAAGCAGCGTCTTCTTTTTTTTTTTTGCAAAATAAACATGGTAGTTTGCCAGTTGTATTTTACTCTATGAATGCGTTCAAAGGAAACTGACTTGATACGTCACAGTAGCGCGACCTTCTAATGAGCATCCTGCACCTTCGTTTTCTTTAGCATCAAGCAATGCCATACTCAAACCAGCTTACACGATATACCCGTGACGTGTAAAACACCTCGTTCAATGTCGTTTGTGTGTGTGTGTGTGTGTGTGTGTGTGTGTGTGTGTGTGTGTGTGTGTGTGTGTGTGTGTGTGTGTGTGTGTGTGTGTGTGTGTGTGTGTGTGTGTGTGTGTGTGTGTGTGTGTGTGTGTGTGTGTGTGTGTGTGTGTGTGTGTGTGTGTGTGTGTGTGTGTGTGTGTGTGTGTGTGTGTGTGTGTGTGTGTGTGTGTGTGTGTGTGTGTGTGTGTGTGTGTGTGTAAAAAGGATTTATGGATATTGTAATACGGGTAGAAACTAAGGGAGAGGAGATGAGAGCACGCGGGGGTGTCAGAAGCTCGAGCTCTGACTGAAACTATTAGTGGGACCCCTGTAAACGCAAAGCTAGCTAGCTGCCTTTGCAGTGAGTGGACACAAAGGCAGCTATAGCGTTGTGTCTGTACCCACTAACCATTCCAGTCAGACGTCCCCGGGTGCCCTTATCTCCTCTCTCCTTCACAAGAAAGAATTCTCGCTAATAGTTATTTCGTGCTACACTGTCAAGGTAACTTCCGCAGTGCTCTAACATTCTCAAAGTTACTTGCACGAGCGCGGGCGTGTTTGTCTGACATGCCCTCTACACGAGAGTGCGTGTACAGGATACGGATGATGAAGCCACGTGCTTGCGCAGCACTGTTAACCTATCGCTAGTGTATTCACCGCGGAAGCTTAGCTACGCTTGCCTTGACACCCTAGAGCTAAATTGTTGACGCCGAGTACAGTGACTTATTTCAAAAACGTGTACGCGGAGGACAGCGGGCATTGCGCTAATTCAACACTTCACTAAAAAAAGAAAAGAAAGGGGACCTCAAAACACGAGTTTTTATGAGAGCTCTTATTCCCCCCGAAGTATATGAAGCCGCTCGAGGTCCGTAACGAGGCTTCAGCGAGAGCTAAAAATAGGTCATGAATAAGTTCTATCCCATCGGAGGGAACGTTGAATGGTCGTTAGAGTCATAGCAACAGCCCAGAAAAAACATTTTCAATATACCCCTTTCGGAAGTCACGTGCCACTTGAAAGACCATCTGTACAATGGTGGAACGACCGCCACCGCCGAACGTGCAAGTAGAGCGGGCGGGTAGCTTCGACTTGTGCTCCTGCTGCTTCAGGAACTCGTGCAGCAGGGGCGAAACCGAGAGCGCAAGAAGCCCGCACTCGTGTCCGTCATTGTACAGGGATTTTCCAGCTTACCAGCTTCCACTAGAGGGCGCACTTTGGAAAGGGGTCTTGTAGACCGTTCCAGAAACAGGATTCGGCGTTCGTGTGTATACTTTGCTCGCCTTCCGAAGCGTCGAGCATGCGCAAACTGGGTTGTGGAGATCGCACGCTGTACTGTGGTTTTGTAAGTGATGCATATATGGAAGCATTCACCTTGGGATCATTTTGATCCAGGCGATTCCGTCCGGGACCGTTTTTATCCGACACCCAACGCAGCGAAGGGGGCTGAGAATGTTACGGCGATCGCGCGGGCGGTAGCCGCCCCGCGATTCGAGCCCACAGAGCGAGGCGAAAAGTATGTGCAGGAAAATCAATCTTTGCAAAAAATCCAATTTTTTTTTTTTTTTTTTTTTTTTTTACGCTTTTTTTTTTTTTTTTTTGAAAGGTTGGGGTGGAGCAGCGGGAGGGTTGATAGGTTCGAGAAACAGGTTCGTGAGGCTAGTGTAGACATCAACGAATAGTACTTGGAGTGGACACTCCACTGTCCACACTCTGGAAAAGTGTGCGCCCCGGGGAGAACAGTGGGGCGTTTCACCGACGTATTTTCGTCCACCATGTTTGTTTTGTTCTGAGGTACCTGACGCGTGTCGAAGGCGACCATTCCAAGAATTCACATGACACCTTCAAATTTGTAGTACACATGTGCAAGTCGTATCACGCTGGCATTTATAACGACGAAATGGGAGATTGGCGTCATATAAAAACATGCCATTACACTGATCAAAGGAGAACAAGTCTTTGGTAGGATGATGTGTTGGATATAAGTGACATTTTGTGACAACCCCCCCCCCCCTTTTTTTTTTCTTGTACGAACCGGGATACTTGTTGAAGGACGCAGGATATCCACTTTTGCATTTAATTCTATATCATCATCCATTTTCATGTTTTACTAGCCTCCCCCCTCCCCCTTCCTCTCTTTCTTATATATACTTCTGTAGTTCCTGCCACCATGCACTCCAGAGTTAGGAGATGCTAACAAAAATGAGCCGACTGAACATTTTATTACACCTTTTATTTCTCATATATTTTTGCCTGCATGATCTGTTCCGCTCAGAACCAAATATCTAAGTAACTAAGTATATTTGCCGTTGTGGCGCTACTGCCAGCTTAGAAATTGTACGTACCATGTGGTTATCGTGGTGATGGTGACTTGCGGCTTTCGGCTGCTGGGAGAAACCAGCGATCGCCACACCTTCCCTTCTAGCCAGGGTCCACCTTTAAGCAAATTCGTAATAAAAAGAAAAAAAAAATTGATTGTCGTTAAAGGGCAACTCCGCTCAATTTTGAAAATTTGGAGTTAGTGGATGATGTTACCTTGCAAAGCACTCATAAACGACCCTGCATACTCTTTTCCCCGAAAAGTAAATTAATTTCCGAGTAATCTTGAAAGAAGCAAAATCGCAAAACGAAACCGAAACTTCGGCAAGATGGGCAACACTATCGTCAGCGTCTACAGTCGACGTCGAGAGCATGCACACACCACCTGGGATACAAAGGGTCACGTGGCCTTCCGCACGGACAGGCGCACGTCGTCTGCATCGCATCGGCTGCACAGGACGGCTCCCGCTTCATTTCCGTTGTGAACCGAAACACACAATGAGGTAAGTTCTTGCCAAGGTATATTTTGTACGCAATTGTAGTAGATGCAAGCTGGGCCTGTAGCCGCCGTCATATCTTATTTTATGCGGGGAAGCCAATGCAATCACAAGCTTGTCAACGCTACGTTCTCGTGCACGCTGCACGCGCTTGCACGCTGGGAGAGCTGTATTTCTAACCCGAACGGGTCTGAGGAAGGACTGTTGCAACGTAGTCAGCATGTGTGGCTTCTGTTCGTTGTTCTAATAACTTGTGTGGTGCGCCCCGCGAGAAAGATTGCCCCGCGAGAAAGATACATCTCGAAAGCCCGCGATCGCGTACTGAAAACGTGTTCTGGTTGCTTGAGCAATCGCTCAACACTTGTTTATGCCAAAGCGATGTGCTGGAGTAATATTTGATTGCATATGTTGCCGACGTAAAATCGCGTTAGCCACTCAATTTCCTGGCTGTCGAGATCTGAACATGATGGAGCCACCGTTAAGCCGTCTGCTGTCGGGGAAGCTGTGCCGCGTGCGAAGATCGGCGGCACGGCGTCCGGCTTCAGTTTCGCGTACTTCGTCGAGAAGCCACAGTCAGCTAACACGCGCATATTTCGCTCGTAGCATTCGGGCAAGAAGTGATCGGAACAGATCAATATCCTGGCAGTTGGCGACAAGGACTTCTCGGGGTCCCATAGGTACAGGGCGTCCGTCCAAAGTTTCCGCCGTTCAATGTCGCCAGGAAACCTGTGGAAGCGAGGACTCTTGGGCTGTTTAGCTGGTAGTTCGGGCAGCCAGCGACACAACAACGTGAGCCTCTCCCTTGGCGCTTTCTATCAGCCATTGCAAAGGCACACCAGGAACAAATCTACGCGCCTCTTGACTAAATAAAACACGAAACAACGAAAGATGAGCACGGCACATCCAGCACAACGGCAAAGACGCAACCGGAGCCTCCGCGTTCGCTCGCAGATCACGTGGACACCGCCTCCGAGGTAGAGTAGGTGGAGTCACAATAGTTGGTAGAGTCAGAGGGCAGAGTGACCGCCGGAGGCGGCGAACGTGGCGCCGCCTGTGGGATCTGTACCTCGAAACGAAAAAATGAAGAAAACACCTGCGCATGCTATAGACGTCACTGACGGTGGAAGCGGCGGAAGCAGATCGGCGGAAGTGCAGTGTTGGCTG